GAATTCCCCATGGGCTGGCTGGGGAATTCTGGGAGTTGAAGTCCACACATCTTAAAGTTCCCAAGGTTGAGAAACACTGGTCTACACCCACTATTGATGCTGCCTGCCCAATGACCTTTTCGGTGGTAAACAGCACTACAAAGAATAAAAATACCTCTCTTCCTCATCACTGGCAAGCTGTAGAAAATAGATGAAAAAATTGTTGCTGTGTGGGACTCAGAATCACATGAACAGTTCCCAAATTAGATGGCACTATAAACTTTACGTTTTTCTTCTAAAGCATAAAAGCTATACGTTTTTCCTCCTTTACAGTCCCTGCCTTTCTGGATGCATTCTCTTGTCCCTTTTCTGGTTTGCATATCTATCATCTGCTGTGATGTCTGAACTGAGCAAACTAAGATTCTCCTCACCTGCGGCAATTGAGCAAACTAAGGTTCTTCTGACTTCTGACAAAATGATGATGTGCGAAACTAGTGTTTCTCTTTCCCTCCATCAGCTGTTGAAAATAGTGTTTTCACTGCTTATCAAACAACCAGTAAGCATAAATATTAATTGTTTTCCATTGCTTATGGAATTTTGAAGATACCAGATGCTTCATGAATAAAAGAAATAACCATCTTCTCCCCAAATGAACCCGCTTCCGTAGGGAATCTGTCCCAGTTCCAGCTTCTTCCATGACAAAATACTTCTCCCAAGAGGATGTTTGAGCTGAAACTTCAATCATCAGATAGAAGATGTACAGAGAGTGATTCTGGTGACTTTTACCCTAGAGAAGTTTTTCTCAGCCTTGGTTATTTTAGGATGTATGGACCAACATGCTGGCTGGAGAATACTGGGAGTTGAAGTCCATACATCTTAAAGTTGCCAAGGTTAAGAAACATTGCTCCAGAATTATCTTCTAATATCACAGCAAAAGAAATTACTAATGATGAGCTTTTGTTCATGTTGCAGTCTACATTATGCTTCAAAAGTGGATGTCTTAGAAAGTATGGTGATATAGGGAAAAATGAAAAAGAGCAAAGAACTGCTGTTGAATCATAAGAAAAGAAAATTAAAAGCCTTGAGGAGCTAATATGAAAAAAGAGCTGAGAGCCTGACAGGAGGAACTGGATGAGATTCATGCTCAAGCATACAAGAAAAAAATCTACAAGTTTGAACTTTCTGTATGCAGAAGATGACCAATCTCTTGTGGTTGCCATATTTACAGGAATTGTTTCAATTGGAGTATAGAAGTTCTACAAAACAGCTTTTTGAGTGCCAGAAATATTTAAATCAGTTCATAGTCTGAATCTGATGGGGGGGGGTGTTGATTTTGTTTGTTTGTTTGTTTGTTTCTGAGATCTAAAAATGTTAATCTTAGGCAGTTACCCAGGAAGGCAATTGCTCTTAAATATGCTGGAAAAAAACAATGAGATTCCAACTTGCCTTCAAGAGATGTAAAAAAAGCATTAAAAATTTAACCAAATGTGTTTTGTGGCCAGAGAATTAGTGAATTATAGTATCTTCTAACATCATTCAGCCATCACTGAGGCAATGCAAAGCCTGTCCTCATTACTGTTATATTCACACAACAATTGAATGATTCTAAAAGATAATCAATTCTAATAATAATTAATAATCAATTAATAATAATTCTAAAAGATAACCAAAAAAAGATTTTAAAAAATTTAAAAATCACTTGTAGGGATTCTGCTTGTGTCTGAATTGAGCCACTGATTTTTCTGATTTTCAGCTCCAGCGCCTTTCAAATACATATGGCTGTTGCTATCAGCAAATCACCAGATAGGCACTGAAGTGGAAGAGGAAGCAGTGCGAAATCAAATAGGTACCCAAAAAATCCACATGGAGAAACCAAACATAAATGAAGCCAATATTCTTTCTTCCCAATGTGTTTAAAAATACAATATTTCCACAGTCAGTGTAATCCTTATATTGTAAATAAAGCAACTGAATCTATTTAATCTTTCACTATTGAAATTTATGTTCTCTTTCTGTTAAAAGAAGAATGGTATGATTCTATTATTTATTATCTTTTAACCACTTTTTGGGTTACAAAACTGTCAATCTTTCTCTAATTCAACTGTTGACAGTTCTGCCAATTAAGCAGTAATTATATTTTTAATGACTGAAGAGATTTATAACAAAGTAATAACAGGCTTCTTTTTTCTTGTTATAAATCTTTTTATAATTACATCAATAAAATGCAAAACAGGTGAACTGTATTCATATGTTGACAGGATGTTTTCTGCTGTTGTGTATGGTATTAAATAAATTTCCCTCCCTTCAAAAAGAATAACTTAAATACTGATACTTTGACCAATAAAGTAAGATGTTTATTTAAGCAACATTTTAAAATTTGTCCACTTATGTTTTTATTCCTATGTCAGCTGCTCTGATTCACAACTGTGAGTTGAGCTGCCATACAAACTGACTAAATATTTTTTTAATGACATTTTTTTAAAAAAACACACATTGTTTTGCAGTTATGAACTACTAAGAAATTCATTATCCTACTTGATTAATACATTATTTTTCAAGCTTTCTACTAAAATATATTTGATTACTCTCTACTCTGAACTAATCAATATATTACTTTTACAAGATCTTTCTAATATTTTTAGGTTGAATATTTCACCTCCATTGTGCAAAAAATATGAATTTGTAAGGTAATTGCATCTGCCCACAGTAGGAAAATATATCTTTTCAAATAAATGTTTTTGATATATATCAGAAAGCATTTCTTTGAAAAGCAAATTTATTTTTTAAAAATAGTCCATGCTTGATGCAGATTATCAGCATGTAAACATGAGAACCAGTGTGGTATAGTAGTTAAAGTGGTAAACTAGGAACAGTGTGACCCAAATTCTAGCCTGCCCTTGGCCATGGAAACTCACTGGATGACTTTGGCCCCACCACTTTCTCTCAGTCAAATCTACCTTACAGGTTGTTACTATGGGGAAAAATAGGAGCACTGTGTACACCACCTTGAATTACTGAATGAAAGATATAAATCTAACAATAAATAAATCCTTTCCCAAATATAGATTTGCTAGTAATTTTTTTTTTACTCACCTGATCTTCTTGGGATTCTGCTGTAAAATGACAAAAGGCTGTTAGAATATAGTTCTTCTTTGCATGCCAAGTATATTTGCAGGTCAGAACTGGTAACTGAGTGGGAATAAATCTTCTCCCTCTTCTATATAACCTTTCAATTTTTGAAGAGTGCTATTA